AAACAGGTAAATTAAAGAAATAAGCACACACACAGATGCACGGCAAACTGGCTCCATCTGAAAGAAGTATGTACTCAGGAAAAAAAAATCCGAAAGTCATCTGCGAAGAGATAGGAGGTTTAAGGAGAGCACCCAATGGGGAGGGGAGGGGAAGGCGAAGTCACTCAACTGTGCTGTATGTGGTTAAACAAACAACAAAGCAGATACTATGACAATACAGCGCAGGTTAAAAAAAATTAAAATGAGGGGATTAGCGGTGGCATTGAGACCACCACAGACATACACACACTAAAAAGGTAAGATGAGAAACCAGTCATACAGCAAGGTTACAGAAAACATAGGGGAAGAGATTAACAAGCCGAAGTTCAGAAAAAGCATTGTAAGGTCAGTGCAAAAACATCCACCAGTAAGGAAGCTGGTTAAGATCGACAAAGGAAATAGTATTCTGGTTCTAACAAGGACAAAACACCCTCCACACAGGTCCTTGTGTTTCTGGAACTGCTTGTGCACTGAGCTGGTTACCAGGGAGCAGCGGTCCACCTCAGACGCTGCCTGTCCTCAGGGGAGAAGAGCCCGTGTTGGGCACTTACAGGTCTGCAGGCAGCGGACACTACGCATAATCACGTGTTCACCACGGTAACAGGTTTCAGGCTACGAGGTGTCAACAGAATGAGGCCAGAGACTTCTGTACATGATTTATTTCATTAATCACAATGTTGGAGAGTGATGGTACATAGCCAACACAGGAGGAGGGTTCAAACCCAGCAAGAGTTAAAGGTCAGAGCCAAAGTCAGTGGCTCTGAATCCCAGGTCAGTAAGTTCCACACACCATTTTCTTTCTTGGATTTGTTGAGAGTGGGTGTTAAGACCACTATGTTTCTAAATGCCCCAGTGTCTTCTGGTCACAAGCACCACCAGGGACCTGACCCCACCGCCCTATCCTGCCTCTGGCTGTGCTGGTGGACGGCAGAAACCTCCTGCATTTGACCACTATCTGACCCACAAGCAGCCTATTGCCCGGTTAATGCTCCCCACAAATTTCCACTTGGAGGATTTCTCATTGTTTGGCTGTAATATCGAGGGGCTGTCTAACAAAGCACCCCTTTCTACGAGAACATCCCCTTTTTCAGCAGTTACCAGTGATCACAACATTGACATGACCTGTGAGAATCAATAAAAAATATTTATTTTGTTTCCAATCCACAGAATTCTTAGTCCAAAAGCTATATGATGAAATTTCCCAGGATTCTAAGCCATTAACATTTTTCTAAGTAAGACAATCTGACTAGAAGGGACGGTCATCTCCCAGCAGCGCCCGAGGAGGGGTCCCTCTGACAGCACCATCCCACAGCCCCTCCTCTGACGAGGATGGACACACAGACGAGTGCTACTGGGCCCAGGGAAGACATCCAAGCTCACGATCAGGTCTCGGCCAGCAGACAGGGTGCGGGGGCTCAGGTAAGCAGCAGGGAGAGGAATCACGGCCTTTGTGAGGCAAAGGGCTCCTTTCATAGATGCTTGTGAACAAAAATGGAACAAATCTCAACAGATAAGGAAGGTGATGGGCGGGCCACCCTCTATGAACCTCTGTGACCTCCACTAACTCCTGATGAACATGAACCTCACCTGATGCCACCCCAGTGCACCCACAGTCAGCACTGGGGCTTGCATTCTGACCTTACATGTTAAAAGTCCTGAGAGGTCCAGACGTGAACTAAGTAAACACAGGACTCCAAGCTAACAAGTTTAATGCCATATCATTAAAACAATCAACCAAGCCAGCTCAAAATGTCCAAACAGTGGCTGGATGGCTAACGTGCAGTGGTTTTCCCTTTCTTTTTTCCCTTATTTGTTTTATTTTAGCTGTAAAATTTTTAATTCTCTCCAATCAGTATATACTCATGTATCAGTGCTTAACTATTTTAAGAATAGCTGCTTTTGAAACAATTACATTTTTTTCTCAAAGGCAATGCCGCTTGCATTAATACAGGAACACTGGACAGTGGTAAAACAAAAGACCGATGATGAAGGGGCCACAGCCGGCATAACTATCCGGAGACGGAACTCAGGAAGACTGAACAGCGTTCCTGAAATACTGTGATACAAGGGCTTGGGGTCACTGTACCTGTGGCATCCATAGTGTGTGCCTGGCATCCATCACCTCAGTGGCCACTGCGAAGTTTTCCTTTTGTGCTCAAAGACTTTCAAGGCCCTTGTTGGGGGGATATGGGGGGAGAACGGGAGGCAACGCGAGCACAAGCTCTCCCTGAGGAGTTTTTCACAAATCTGCACCCAGAGAGAAAGCAGGGTGTGGTGGGAGGGCACACAGCCCATTCTCTCACAAACGCCTTTCCTTCCTATGTCCTCAAGGGAGGGACGGAAACCGCTGAAAGGGGCAGAAAAGGCAACTTTCCCACACAGCATTCAAATGCACTTCACACAATCCAAGCATTCCTGACCCTGAACCTGAAGAATTCTCAGCTGGAGTCACTATCTCGAGTTTTGCTTTCATCCCCAGAAAACAGGGCCCTGTCTCCTGTCAGGCCAGGTGCACTGGTGAAAACAGAGGTGATGACATGGCCCTGCTACTGAAGCTTAAGGCCAACCTTTAAAATCCGTACCTGCTTTCAAAACCGTCGGTTAGTTATTCTCACAGGTCATGCCTTCACGGTGATTTAACAGCTGCAAAGGACTAGAGTGTAAACTGGCTTTTTTCTTTTAAGGGTCTAGCTCCAGGCTGCACAGTCACATGCGTCCGTTTAGCCAAGTCAAAAGCACGTGCTAAAGACCCAGGCCACCGAGAGCCTGCCCGCCCAGCCCGCTGGTCTGAGTGCCACAGAGCCAGCATGTGACTCGGCGGAGCAGCTCTGTAGACCACGGTGGCCAGAGGACAGGTAGGTAAACAAGCCAAGGAGACACCTTCCAGCAGGCAGGGCTCATCAACACACCAGAGGGCCAATCGTACTTCTCACGTGCAGAAGAATTCCATTAATCCCCACTTAAGTAAGCAGGGCCAACTGCTTATTTAAAGTAAGAAGTTCTTCACCTGGCAGTGCACCTCCACGGCTCCGTAGGACCAAGTCCCACCGTCAGCTGCAGACACCGGGCAAAAAGTCACAGAAAAAATGAATTGCCCACTTTTTGATATCACACACACACACACACACACTGTAAAAAGACAATAAAAATATTTCTGCAATTAAAAATGCAAAAGCCTCTAAGGATTTTAATGCCAATTCGTATCACAATACAGCTTTCATAGGAAAAGTTCTGTTGCTGGCAGAGGGCGGTGGGGTGGGGAGTACTGTCTCTCAGAAGAAGCACTTGGGTCTACTTCTAGGATACTAAAGAATGCAACCATGTTTAAAGAAATGCTCTAATTTCACTCTTTCAGAATTATTATTAAAACCAGCCAGGGACGAATTCAACTCCAGGTGTGACTTCTAAGCCTGCAAGCATTTCACTGGCAACGGGAAAATCTGACCTTTCTGATCAAATGGAACATCAGAGTTCTTCCTTGAAATTAGGACGTCACTGATGAAGCCGATCAAATACCATAGGTCACACTTCTCCACGCGTAGAGCAACACTGTCCACCAGCACAATCCAAGACGCTCACAGAACCACCTGCATCCCAGTCCTAGTCCCCTACAGTCTAGCAGCGCTGGTGGACGCGTAACTAGAGAAATACATACATCTACCAGCTTTACGCTGACTTCTCTCACGATTTTACAGAGAACTGTTATTAGATGACTTCCCTGCTTCCAATATCACACTTCTCACTCTCCCACTCACTCCACTCCCCCCTAAAAGACCACACTGAAATTTGCAGAAAAACCTGCAAACCGAAAGGGTGACAGGTCCTGGGTGTCTCCTTAATGGCCCCACATTCTGGGAATGGGTGTCAGTGGCACCACTGAACAGAGCACAGTGAAACCTAAGCTCAGTTCAGAGACAGGGAAATTTGAGGAGAAAGCCTTTGACCCTTGCCACGTTTCTGCATCTCAAAAACAACTTCAGAGGAAAGAAACGGCACTGCTGGTGCAGAGAAGCTGGAAGCACCCTCACAGCAGCAACGCTCCTTCATGCTCTCATGTCCAACTGCCCATCGTCCTGGAGGTACAGGCTGCAGACTTCTTCCACCCACTCAAAAGGGACAAGAAGCTTCACTCCATCAATTATATTTAATAACCAGACCTGCTTCCGGAAGCGCCAGAGAGGGCAGCTCTCAACACTCTTCAAGAGGACCTTCAGTGCTAAAGCATCCCAGGCCTAAGCTGGCATCCTGAGCTACAATGGCAGCTGGTGAAATCGGGTTATGTGATGGAGGGGACGGAAAAGGCCCGCACGTGTCGGTCCCTAACATTAACATGTATGGGTGGGTGGTGAAGCAGGGGGTGTGTCTGGCCATGTGCAACAAGCCTGTTTCCCGAGGAGCGAGCATCCGGTGCCCAGGACCTGCCTGCCATCCCATTGGGTCATTCTGTGGTACCATAAGCTTCTTCAGGAAGCCTGTGTCAGTCTGACGTAGCCACACAATTGCAAAGTGCACAAAGCTCAAGGCACAGAGAAGAAAGGAGACTGACAGGGTCGGGAGAAGGTACAGCAAAAGCAGAGTTAGCCACGTTCTTTAACGAGACCTGATGCTAAGACAAAGAGCACTCTCTGGAAAGGAGTAGTTTTGGTTATGGGCAAAAAATACTGTATTGTAATGATCTGTTTGTTTTCCAAAGCAAACAGTATGATGACAGGTGAAACCAACACGCTGAAGAGCCACGTCCACGAGTGAACAAAATGAACGCGTCAGAAGAGAAAGATTCTTCTGCTCTTGGATTTTTGGAGGAAGCTGCAGATTTTGGCTGCCAGTGTCCACTCACCAACGGTCACTTTCAAGATGCTTGTTCCTCATGAAATCTGGAGAGAAACCCACTGAAAGATTGTCCCACTTCCAAATCATCCTGAAGTCTAGCAGCAACTGTTTGTTAGTTTTTCTGTCTTTGTTTTTAAAATTACAAACCGAAGTCAGAAGCCCAACATCTTCTCCCAAGAAGAGCTCTGTGGCGGAGCCTGCTGCGTGGCCGCTGGCCGCCCGCCCACTGCGCTCAATGGTCTCTGTGCTCCAGTGTGTCCTCTCTGCAGGAACCAAAGGGCAGTCAAGGCCTTCACTATCTGTAGCCTCGCGAGCCTGCGCATGCCGACGAGCTGTCTGAAAAACCAAGCAGGGAAAAGTGTCAGCAGCACACACCAGGTGGTGACGGTGGGCAATCTCACTCAATCTTCCCATAGAACAAAATCAAGCCATGATTATCAAGCTGATTCTGATTCTGAGATATTTCTGAGACTGAACGTCTAACAGGAACAGACTGTCTCTGCTTCTGTCCCTGGGGCAGTTCATGGATTTGAACCACCAATCTTTTGTTTAGCCAGTACCTAACACAACTCCAGGATTCCTATTTTCCCACAAGACGACTATGTGGAATGATCTAGAGTGAAGTGAAGGGGCTTTGGCTCCTCAGGAACAAACACTGGCCATTACGCTATTGGAGCAGGTACCAACAAGGACAGAAGGTTTAGGCAGGGCCCCACTCTAGTGTACACAAGGTCTCTATGTACATGGGGTCAAGGCTGATTCAACAGCACCAACCCCAGCTAAAGTCTTTATGTACATGGGGTCAAGGCTGATTCAACAGCACCAACCCCAGCTAAGGTCTCTATGTACATGGGGTCAAGGCCAACTCAACACCACCAACCCCAGCTTCTTGCTCTGTGCCTTCAAGTCAGAACCAACTCACAGCTAAGCCTCCAGTGCATTTTCAGAGGCTGTTAATCACACAGGAGGAGACTGTCATCTTTTTGCTATCAAGCCGCTGGTAGATTTGAACTGTGTGCCTTTGGGTTGGCAGCACAACTTCTTACCACTAGTTCATTAGAGCTTCTACAGCCCTTATCAACAACAGCAGAAAATACTATTATAAGGAGCCAGGGTGCCCAGTTAAAGAGTCAGCTGCTAACTGAAAGGTTAGTGGTTCAAATCCACTCAGTGGCTCTGTGGGCAAAAAACCTAGTGAAACAATCTTGTAAAGAATTTAGCCTACAAAATGCTGTGGGATCACAGTACTCTGACTTAGGGGAACACACCACCAAGAGAGTGACGGAGATGGTCAGGCCACGGCAGTTACTGCCTGCATCCCCATTCAAGCACAGACCCTGGGGAGAAGGGAGGACACCAATACTTACTATAAGCCAACTCATCCCCAGCTCTCTTCCGGGACTGGTCACCTCTGGAGACAAGAAAATAGAGGAATCAAAAGACATCTTCACACACCGAACGCAGCGGAAAAAATGAATGTACGTGATAATGGGAAGTGTGCTGCTGTATGTCCTCACGACAGAACTGACTCCCAGCTGACTGCTGGTGGGTTTTCAGAGGCAGTAAATCGCACAGAAGGAGACTGTGCACCTTTCTAGCATTTACTGTAACTTGAAGTTATTGATTTATTTGGAGTCTTCTTAGTTATCTCCCAACACTTGATTATATGCTCCATGAAGACAGGACTGGTCATATATAATGCTTTGTATCCAGTACGTATAGACAGTATGAAGGGAGCTCTGACAGCCTAGTGGTACAGAGCTGCACTGCCAACTCAAAGGTGAGTGGTTTGAACCCACCAGCCACTCTGCAGGAGGAAGATGTGACTTACAGCCCCTGAAAATGGGCTGGAGGGTCAGCTACGGGTTCATTCCAACTCGACAGTACACAACAACAATGACAAGAAATACCCATACAGCGTTTCAGCACATCGTAGGCTGTTGTTGCTGTGTACGCTGTCGGAACCGACCCAAGCTGACCTTCCGGCAGCGAGCTTTCAGGGGCGGTTTATCGCACAGGAGAAGACGGCCTATTTTTTTCCCTCTGGAGCAGCTAGTGGATTTAAACCCTGTGCTTTTGGAACTGCAGCACAGCTTCTTGCCACGAGGCTACCAGAGCGCCCTACGTAGGAGGCAGTCAACAGATATTTGTCAAGTGAACAAATCAGTGAATCATCCACTCTCCTGAGATTATGAAAATGCTAGCCCACATAATTGTTCCTACTTCCTTTTCTGATTGTGCTTATGTAGGGCAGAGAATCGGTGTGAGGAGCCTCGATGACCAACACAAAGGGTACACACCAGCCAAAGTCCCCGCAAGGGCTTCTGTCCAGCAAGAAACACACACAGCACTCGGATCAGCCGCTGGATCAAAGGGGCCGAAGCGGGTCCTCTCCCGTGTCACTTTGTAAACACCTCTGTTAGACTCATACCTGGCCAAGCAGCTGCATGTCTTCCATGGTTAATTACACTAACACCATCACCCAATACCCCAAAACAAACAACTTCAATAATGACAAAAAGGAAGGATGATTTTCCTATCAAGAGCCTCAGCTTCCACAGACAACCTTCCTCTTTAACTCGAACATGTTAAAAGAAACCCAAGTATCAGGAGAAAATGTGAGGGTGACAACGACAGGAAGCAAAAAAGGGTGCAGGGAGCAGGCTGCCAGACGCATCCTCCAGCCTCACACGGCTGCAAAGCCAGGAGCGTCCCTGTAAGCCAGACAGATCCCCGCTACTACGCAGAGCAGTCCCTACCTGTTGTGCATACACTCAGGTGAGACATGGCCACAGCCCCACAGAGTCTAACTGGTCCAGCAACACAGGAAAGCACTTGAGAGAGAACCCTGTCCTCCCGTTAGGAGGGCTCCAGTACACCCTCGGGAGGGGCCCACAGCAGGTGTGAACGGGGCTGTGCCAGCTGAGGTCCTACCTGCTGCTCCACAGCTCATCTGACAGCAGGTATCAACCGCATCTCCAAAGGAACGCAATGAGGCAGGTAGCAGATAAAAAGGAAGTGTTGCTTTTATCTAGTATGTTAATTCTAGCTTACAAATGAGTTCCTTCCGCATTTCCAGGAAGCCGACGTTCATGTTTCACATGAACTCCAGCGCAAATGAGAATCTGGCCCCTGACTGCCCATCTTCACATATTATTTCAGAACACTTCAAAGCTGACTCTGTGCCATCCACAGGAAGTCTGCACTGCGTAATCGTAACCCCTGCTTCACAGAAGTGAACATAATCCTCTATGAAAAGGCGTCTGCAAAGCTGAGCCCGAGTCACGGCCGGCTGGGCATAACCATAACATGACTGCTCTGATCAGAGCAGCCAGGAACAGAATCCTACGAGACCATGTATTATGTTCTCAGTGTCATTTTCACATCAGTGGACACCGTATCTTCCAAATTATCCCACCAAAGAAGATCAAAGGCGGCATCACGCTAGGCAGGGCAGGTGAGGGAGGCCCACCCTCCAGAGCCTCACAGGCAGGCTCCCACCAGCGGCTAAGGGGGGGCTTGTGCACATCCTTCCTGACCTGGGACAGTAAATGCTGAAGCGGCTGGAGTGGCAATGACAGTGACAGCTTAGATTGGGCACTACTAGGGTAATTTATAAAGCAGAGTTTAATCCTCATAGTAAATGTGTAATATGTTATTAATGTAATTACAAAATAGCCCCATTAAGTTTGTAAATGAAATACTTTAATTTTATTACCTCTTGGAATACTGCCTAATTATATAACCTCTTGGAATACTGCCTAATTAAATCTCAGTTGGAACTTGTATGAAAGAGTGCCTCTGGAGAGAAACAAAAATCCCAATTTACACCCTAAACACACCAGCATTCCCTGAAGATGACTAGCGTGACCTTGATTGAAGGGTGTCATGTTAGTCCTTCGCGGATGACAGAAAGGCCAGGTCACTGGAAGGGTAATTATGGAGTCAGCAGCCATTGCACCCACGCCAACTGCTTAGAAGAGCGTCTCTACCAAGTGGAGTATTATCAGCCTCTCATTTCCGGTCTAAAATGAGGAGTGCTTCCCCTGTGTTTCACCAGTTCCATACTGGCTGGAAGGTGAACTCGAGGTTCTGAGAAAGCCTCAAGATTTCTCACACTGCTTCACAGTGTAAGAGCTTTCAGAGGAAAAAGCCCAACATAAAGGCATGAGTCAATGAATTTCTCAGCTTAAAAGCAAACATTCAAATAAAACACAAATTAAAACATGAAAGATTTGGAAATTTTGGTGAACATGACAAAAAAAAACCCAAAAAACCAAAAACACCCAAACAAACAACAAACTCCAAAAACCATGGAAGGTATCCACAAATCACTTGGGATACAGCAAAGATTATTCAGGAGGGAACTTAGCTCAAGACTGGTTTTCCTGAGATAGAGTTTGACCTCAGAACCTCTGAGAGAGAATGTTCGCCCCAATCAAATGATCAGACTATTACTTTTGGCCACAACAGTTCCGAAGACGTGGTTTCTCTTTCACAGACTTCCTTCCTATAGGCCAGTGAACCCAGTGAAACAAGTTATGGGAACGTGTCTAACCAGTAAGAATTATGGTAATGTCAGGGACATCATGCCTTCAGTGACTGATACAAATACCTGTTCCCCCACAGGGAGTTACAGTATTTTAATCTTACATTTGTTCAAAAAGATACTTGAGAAAATATTTCAGGATATGAGCAGGATACTAAATTGCTTATTATTTAAAAAATTAACACATTGTATATGTAAAAACCAAGGGGGAAAAATGTAGAAAGATACACCTTTTAAGAAGAAACAATTCAAACTTAAGGCAAAATTTAAAGTATGAAATATGCACTATAAAGTCTCTTAAAATTTAGGGGTAACAGTACATTACAGTACAACAATGAATGAATGGAAATCCAAAATCTCTGTAAATGTTCATTAAACTTAATAAAATAAAATAAAAAAAGGTACATTACAAACAGCGACAGCATTTCTACAGAGTCCTTCCAAACACTCAGGACTAACATGGGAGCGCCAGAATTGAAATCTTGGTAGTTGCCCAGCTAAATGCTGGTCAATGAGAAACTGTCTTTTTAAAACCATACTCAGCGGAGAACACCTTCTAAAATCAAAACCCAAATTCCACACTTCCAGGTACAGAGAACGAGTACCTCTCCCCTCAGAGAACTTATTCATTAAGACCTCCGCATCCACGCCACACTGGCCTAAGATAGTGGACCTATTCTGTCATGGAAGGAGAAAACAAACAAATAAACAAACCACCGTAAATACTTGCCTCATAAAACCGTTCTGTATAAGTTCTCTTTGAAGTTTCTGATCTTGAGCAGCGTATTCAGACAGTTCAGATTCCACCGCCGGAGGGAGAATGTTTGGAATAAATTTAGAAAACAGAGTTGGTGCCATCTGAACCCATTCTGTGAGGGAGGAAAAGAGCCATTAAGAAACTCACGACAAAAAAAAAAGAAAGAAAACCACAACAGATTAAATCAGCTGGAAAAGAGATTTTGTTGTTGTTGTTGCTGTTACTCAAGAATAAAAATGTATATTAAACCCAACTTAACATGGGAAGAAAAGGCAATTCCCTACTGAAAAGCACATGTGGAGAGGGTAAATTTCTTTTCTAAAAATAATTTACGCTATGAAGCAAGCCAGCAATTTTACATTTTATACATTGTACTTATTTAACAGAATTTAATGGCAATTCCTGGTGAATTTCTGAATGAGTCTTGAAAAAAATCCCAAGTATGGAGAAACACATGAATGAGATTATCGAAGAATTCTGAGAGAGAGAACACTGGAAATGAGAAGACTTGTCAGCATGAAGTCAAGCAACCCACGGGCCCAAGAAGAGAAAAGCACCGGTTGTAATGGTATCTGTCACAGAGACAGCACAAGCCATAGTAGTATCTGTAATAGTAACAGCACAGGTCAGAGTAAGAGGACGTATAAAAAGGAAAGTACCACCAAAAAGAACAGTTAATGAGCAAATTGGGAAACTGGTTATGACTGTGGAAACAGAAATCTATTTTGATCCCTGTTAAGTCACAGCCTATTAAACAGCATAAGAAAAGGGAACTGAATAGTTATTACTTAAAAAAAAGGATCAAGAGAATAATCTATAGGGGGAAAATCATATCAAAATAAAAAGGTAAGGCTGAAGAGAGTTCAAGCACTATGTACATCAAAGAAGAATTCACATGTTTATAAGAAAGCATTTGTAAAAATCAATAAAGCTAAAGAGGTAAAACACATGACTAAACCATTCAAAAAAAGATTAATAAGTAGACTTGTTAGTATACAGAGAAGTCCAAGTGAATACAACTCTTTCACCTCCCACCCCAATCAGTGAGTTAAATGTATACAATGCCCGTCTGTTTCTAGGGCATCATGAACCAAGATTCACCCTTCTTTTTGGCTCTACATTTAGACATGTTGCTAGGAGAGGCTATTCCTTGGAAAGGGGGATCATGCTTTAAAAGGGAAAAAAGGTCAGCAAAAGAGTGGAAGATCCCCAATGAGATGGACTGACACAGTGACTCCAGAAATGAGCTCAACTCTAGAGGTGGTGGGGAGGGGACAGGACAGCAGAGGAATCAGATCTGTGCTTCACAGGGTCGCTCTGGGTGGTACTTGACTTGATGGTAACTATCAGCAATATAACAAAAATAGCCCTTTTCCAATTCCCTTAATTTAGTTCTTTCAAATTCTTCTTTTGGAAAATATTTCTACTCTCTCTAGAGTTGCTATGAGTCATACTTGATTCGATGGCACCAAACCACAACATACTGAAAACCATAAAAATGCTAATGCTCTTTAATCCGGTAAGCCCACTCCAAAGGGTGGAGGGTGAGCGGGCAGCCAGGAATGTGCTCACCGCTTGTGGCACTCAGAGACCCTTAGGAATCCACACCCCAGACACCACACTGACGCCTTTCACTGTGGGTCAGAAGCGGCAACCTCACCACTCTACAGGCCAGGAGAGCAGCTCAGCGTGGCCAGCAAACGACAAGCACCTGGAATGCCCAAAGTCAATGCCCTCAATGCCTCCCTCAAGTTCTGGACAAACATTAGCACTTGTGTCCCTCTCGCCAGCTCAGTTCAGATATGGCTTTAGAAAAAGTCTTGGTAATACAGTTCCAGTCTGATAATGATTAAAACTAACTAATGAGCCACAGTTAGGAGTCAAAACTATCCATCCTCCACGGACCCAGGACCTCCAACAGACTCATTGTGGTTGAATTTGCCTTTCCACCCAGGTATCAGGGGGCTCTGGTGGCTTCCGGAAAGGAATTTCACTGCCAAAACACAGGTATGCAATTCAAACACAAAAGCTGCTCTGCAGGAGAAAGATGGGTAATCTCCTCCTACGCGGTTTACTGCCTCTGAACACCCACTGGAGGGTCGGCGGTATGTTGGTTCTGGTGCGATGGCACATTAAGAACCACGAGCGGGCAGACATACGGACTCAGAATCAACCAGAATGTACACTGTGCCATGAATGTAAAAGGTCCATGGGCCACAATCACCTGGGGAACCTGATATCCTGGAGATTCTGACTCAGTGTATCAGGGCAGAAAGACAAATTCCAGGCGGGGTGCTGACCAGGAACGGATGGCAGCCCAGACTAAAACTCTGCTCCAGACAGCATGAAATAAAGATGAAGAAACAGATGCATGAAATGATGGAGGGCTGCGCAGGAGTGCTGGAACCAGGGCTAAATTAGGTTTCCACAGACTGGACAGAGCACACCAAAAGTGGTCACATTCATCACAAGCGCCAAGGACTGGGGCCCAGGAATCTGCTGCTGAAAAAGCAGTCTCAGCGTGATTCAGCCACAGCCAGGTAGATCAGTACCTGTGAACCACTCACTGGGGAAAGACAGTCACAGTTAAAATTTCAAATCTCTAACCTTAATCTGTGAGGTGAATAGAAATGCTTTAAGAAAGGCAGATAACAGGTACTGGCAAAGTATGGAAATGTCAAAATCTGTACAAAAGTATCTGAGAAAAAGCCCCAGGCAGCAGAAGGTTAGTCTGTGGTAAAATTCACCTTTTTAAAGGACAATTCTTGAATACAGAATTCTCCTCCTAAGTGGTATGAATTCCATTACAAGAGCTCAACCTTGGATCAGTGTTCAGATAAACCGGCACCCATCTACCGCTTCTACACCACTGGTTAACTTTATCTGAGATTTGTGTTATGATAAATGCACAGCTGACCTACGATAAAACATTTCTCATATTACATGTGGATGGATGCCTTCTAACAGAAAACAAAACAACCTAGATTAACAATAAAAACATTTATGAGCCTTTCTCTTCATGGAATTAAATAGAAAAGTCTGAGAACTAGGAAAAGACATCAGTTGATTATAGACACGTGTAACATAATATTTTTGCTATTTTATACAGATAATCTGCTTTCCATTTATGACATATTTTAAAAACCACGCTCAGGATTTAATCCAAATTTATTCTTTTGTACCACTGAATTGGAACTGACCCAGAGGACCCTCCAGAAGGTTTCCTGAGACGGTAAACTGCACGGCAGGAGAAAACCCATCTTCCTCCCCCAGAGCTGCCAGTGAATTCAAACCAGCTTCCTTTGGGTCGGCAGCCCAACTCCCTGTCACTAGACTACCAGAACTCCCTAACTCAAACTTGTTCTTGTTATGTGCCATCGAATTGTAGACGACTCATAGCGACCTTATGAACGAAAGGCCTGAGCACTGTTCATACATAGAGTTTCCAGAGGCAAGCCATTTCAGCAGTGGATGCCGCTCCTGCTTCCAGGCTTGTGTTAGTCGGGAAGCTCCAGCCAACACTGTCCGCCATGGGTACCCATGACCACGTTTGGCACATCAAAAGTAAATAATTTAGAGGTCACCATCAGTTTAAAGTATCCTACAAAAAAAGTAATTTCCTACATCACTTCTCTTGATTCTAGAGTTTTCACTTCTTTCATTTTCCCAAGTGGTTTCTGGTGGCTAAGCAGGTCAGGATCTGCGCTGGCAACCAAAAGCCAGGTCATCTCTTCTGTTTTAACTCACAGACTCTGAAAACGCTTTTTTTCCCCCCTATAATTATATTTTATTAATTTTCATAAACATTTACAGAGATTTTGGGTTTCCATTCATTCATTGTTGCACCATTCTCTCTGCCCTCCTCCCAGTTTGTTCTTGTCCAAATGCCACAGTGCTTGTCAAAGCCAGTTCTGATTAATCTTCTTTGTCAGTGTGTCCTTTGCCATTCCCTATCACTCCTCCCTGAGAGAGACTTCACCCTGAGTCATAAGGAAAAGGGGATGGCGTATTCTCTTAGCTACTTCCTGCTGAAAAGGGAAGCTGTGGGTTTCAGAGTCACCTAGGAGTCGGTTCCAACTCCACAGCAATGACTGACAGATTAACTGATTCCGTTTTAGCAAACTCAATCCTGACATATTTTTTAACTAATTAATAAAATGATCATGTTATAGCTTAATTAAAACAACAATAAATCTCAATGGCACGAGTTCTGGTGGTTTGGTGATAAGGAGTTGTGCTGGCAACCCAAAGGTAGGCAGTTCAAATGCCTGCAATTAATTGTCTCTAAAAACCCGCTGAAGGGTCAGCTATGAGTCAGTTCCTACTTGACAGTACAAAGCAACAACCACCACCTCAATGGCTAACGATAACAGATAATATTTCTGGGCTTATTATGTGTCAGGTATGTGTGAAACTCTTTGTATCAGTTTATTTCATTTATTCCTCAAATGAAAACAGGTTTTTCTTTTTACTGAAAAAAGCACTATCTCCTTCGTTTTTTTCCCGACTAGAAATTGTTCCACTGCAAACTATTCTAATTTGAGGATTCTTTGTAATCTCTTCTATGGACTAGTCTTCAATATGGACTACATCTCAACACCAAGACAACAAAAATCCTTACTACTAGGCCAAAAGGCAGCATATGATAGATGAAGATTGAAGTTGTCAACTATTTCATCTTGCTTAGATCAACACCTTTGGTACCAGCAGCCAAGAAATCAAAAGATATGTTGCATTCAGAAAACCTATCATCAAGGACCACTCCAAAGTGCAAAGGAGCAATGATGTGAGTTAAAAGACTAAGGTGCACCTGACTCAAGCCATCATCTTTTCAATTGCTATACATCTGAAAGTTGGACAATGAGTAAGTATAAAGAAAAAAAAATAAGAATCGATGCCTCTGATTTGTGGTGTTGGAGAAGACGAGTGACTATTCCACTTCCATGACTATTAAAAGAAAGAGCAAGTGTGTCTTGGAGAAAGTGCAACCAGGATGCTCGTTGTAAGTGAGGATAGTGAAACTTCATCTCCCTTACTCTGGGCGTGTTATTAGGAGGCCGCAGTCTTAAAACAGGGCATTACATTCAGTAAAAACAAAGGAAGGTCAGAGAAAGAAAGAATGACCCTCAACCAGATGGACTGACACAGTGACTGCAGCAATGGGCCGAAGTGTATCAGAGATGACAGAGATGGCACTGGATACAGCAGGGTTCAGATCCGCTGTTCACAGGGTTGCTACGAGTCGTATTCGACACAACAGTACCTAACAATAACAAACAGTGATGTAAGTTTTAGGTTCTGATTTACAGACAGGGAAAAGTAACAGCTCAAGGCGGCTGCTGCAGATTATTCTGACTCACGGAGATCTCACGTGTCTCCAGCAGAGCTGCATTCGACAGGTTTTCAATGGCTTGTGTCACGGAAATGGGCCACCAGCCCTTGCTCCCACAGTGCCACTGGTGGATTCGAACCATCGACCTATGAGTTAGCAGTCTAGAACCACCATCTGTGCCAGCCAGGGATTTCTGGCTTATAAACAGGCAAAAGGATATCTCTGCACCCCACTGCCTCTGAGTCTGATTCTGGCCCAGAGAACCCAGCAGCAGAGAGCAGAACTGCCCCCAGGGTCTCCAGCGCCATACAACTTTCTAAACAGACTGCCTCATCTCTCTCCCGTGGAGCAGGCGGGTTCTTTCCGTGAGCACCCCCAGGCTAAACACTGCACCACCAGGACTCTAGTCACTAGTCTAAGACCAATTACATTAATTTATAAACCATGTCTTTGAATATAGTGATCTCTGATTTTTCAGTTCTACTATTCTGAGTATCTCTACCTCTAAAATATCTTCATGAAATGATGATAAATTTGACAACACGTCTATTCTCCTTTCAAGTTAATAAGAAATCTAAAGTGGGGCTGTGAATGTGAATGTCTGTGAGGCAGGAAGTGAAAGAGAAATTCCATAAAGACAAAGATTAAGCTAAACAGGAGATTCATATTATCTAGTGTCTTCTACAAATTATTTGTCTTTTCCTCACAAGTGCTACAATACCCAAGCTATTTTGGTTTTGCTAGTAGAGAAAGAGTTCTAAGTTGAGTCCTAAGTTTACATTTTCAAACGTTAAGTGTTGACTCCAGTTTTTCTGATGTAATAAATGTAAATCCCACTGCTGACGTGGGGAGGCGCTGCTGAGCCATGTCCGATACACAGTGACCCGTGTACAACAGAACAGAAGAGCGCCCAGCCCTGTGCCCTTCTCACCATCACTGCTCTGTCTGTAACCTCTGTTGCACCTGTGCGTCAGTCCATGCTGTGTAGGGTTTTCTTCCTCTTCCAGGACTGGCCCCTCATCACGGTAACATCACAGAACAAACTGAAATCCTTTCAGATTAATGCTGGAGCTGCTATAATAAATGCGCCCAACCCCCAAAGAAATAGCCAAGGTTTACCTGGTCGGAGGGTATAGAGGCCTTTCACAATGTTTGCCATAGTCGAAGGCGTGACCTGAAACGGTGTTGACTGGGCTTCCAAAAGTAAAGCTAAAATCAGAGGAGAAAAGGATGCAATGAGAAGGAGAAAACACTCCTTTTCCAAGCTTCTCTTCCTATCACTCCTTCTCTCAAAGACTAAGGGGTAAAGATGTGCAAGAAAGGCACACCTCCGAGGACAAACCAGAAGTGCATATTGAAGGGGTTTGGTTTTGGTTTTTAAATCCAACATAGATCTTGTTCTTTAAAGAAAACACCTCAAAAACAGAAACAGACCAAATGGGCAGCAGTAACTAAGGCAAAGACAAGAAGGCTGGGGGGCGGGCAGAGCAACCCAGTTCATGGAAACAAAACTAACGAGAACATGGACACAATGTGAAGAGTGTACACACACACACCTGTCAGCAAATGGGACATGGAAGAATTATTAAATGGGAACCTGTTTTGTTGACTACACCTTTACAAAAAAAAAGAAAAAAGTGAACCTGGAACAAACAAAAAAAAAACACCAACACAGTAGCTCAATCTAACAAGTAAATGCGTGCATGTCTGCAGAAACACTAATGGCAATGATTCAATCTGAATATAAGGAAAGCTTTCTAAAAGCAATCGTATTCATGCTGCTTTGCAAGTGAGCTAAAATGATTCCATTAAGCTCGTCATTCAAAGGTTTACATTTGGAGAATAAAATGTTCTCCAGAAGTTATTATTACACAGTGCTGCCCCCATCCTTTTTCTCCCCCCAAATCATCATCCTGAAGGTTCTCAACACTTTTCTAAAGGTGTATTCTTGTCATTTAGGGACTGTGATCAAGCTCAGAGCCACATGTTCCCAAGTGCCCCGGCTGCAAGGATCTCTTTTCTAAGGACGCGCCTCGGGTCCAGTGCCACCAGTCTGCTTAACAGGGGACCTTTGTCCATGCTCATTGTCAATTTTCTTTGATTCTATTACCACACAAATACTTTATAGTCTTTTTTTTTTTAAGAGTAGGTATACTGCTCTAGACAGAAAGTAAGGACTACAGTTATTGTCTTCTGAATAGTCCCCCTATACATGCCCAGCAAAACTGATTTTCAAACTACTGGCAAAAAGAAAAATATTTATAAAAACAATCAGGCTTTTAACCAGGTAGTGGCATTTTTTCCTACTGCACTTTTAACAGGAAAGCCTACAAACTGCTGTGTTCAACTTTATAATAAAAGCAAAACAATAATCATTAACACCAGAGGAAATACTGAAATGATTCTAATAAAAGCTGGAATATCTCATGGGATAATTTCATAGATATTTATAAACATCTGTCCAAGCTTAAAAAAAATGCATGTCATATCCCAAGATTCTAAAATCTCTTAGAAACATAATATTGAAACATATTACTCTCTTCAACAATAGTATTTGAAAACTTTACCTTTCTATAATAGGCTGGCCCAATTTTTAACATTTTCATTAAACAATAAAAAAAGAATTTTGGGTTAATAAGAAAACAATCTTTTTGTAACATCCAGTAAAGGTTCACTGTGGTATCAACGCACAATGACCAAACCAAATTCAACTGCTGGCCCTGGGATTCCAACTCACAGCACCCCGCAGTCCAGAGGACAACGGTTCCATGGGGTCTGAGGCCGTTCCCTGAGGAGGAGTTGGTGGATCTGAAGTGCAGGTCTTTCAGTTCGTGACCCAGCACTTAACCTACTGCACCACCAGGGTTCCTAACCGTGACTAACTCGAAAGCAAAATGTACACACTGTAAATCCAAACTCTATGTACAAAATTCTAGGAGGAAAAAAAGGCTTGATAAATTTCATAAAATATGAGTGTTTAAAACATACCAGTGTATTAGTTAGTAGGGTTTCCCTAAACTCCCCTTGGAAAGGTTTATTCTTAGGATGAGAATCCACCAACATGAGGGACAGGGTGAGGGTATAGAGGACAAAGATGAGAAGTGGAGAGAAACCGGTCAGGACTGGCGCTTTGATCTGTTCACTTAATGATGCATGCTGCTACAGTAAACACTTCACAAGTCTCAACTTCACAGGAAACCCAGGCTCAAAAGAGGTTAAGAAAATGAGAGAGCCAGAAGCCCCAAAATCAGAGAGGATTCTCTACTATGGTTTCACAGTGTAACACTACAGTTCTTCTAAAATAACTGGTAACAAAGTGAGACGTGAAGCCCTAAGAGGTGTGGCTGGGGAAAGCAGCCAATCCCTGAGGACATGGAGGCATCTTCTAATGACTGACCTGAGTGGCCACCAGTTTACTGAGTGACCTTCAAGCCGTATTTCCAACTCCTCACATTCTCTCGATAAAACAAGCCTTCAACACAACCCATGGACTAAGCTGAAAGCTGTCAATGCTCTCAGACAAAAATGAGACCATTGCTGGTTTCCCCTCACCCTTGTATGAAGTTTAACAACTTACGCATTAGGCTGTAGATGTGCTTTTCTGCAACATGTTCCGTAAACAGCTTTATAAGGTCATCTTTTAAGTCTCTGTTTAGCTTGGTTTCGATGTAAAATTTATTCTAGGAAGAAAAAAAAAATTCTTATCATTCATTAGAAGAAAAGAATTTGTTATTATCATGAACTAAAGAGCCCATCCTCTGAAAATTACTTTAGGAAAACAAGGCTTAAAGGTGGTATCAACTCATTAATTACAAACAGAAACAATGCAGCCGCCAACAGTCAAAACCCTGCAGCATCTTTCTTGCGTGGGATTAAAGGCACTCAAATCCATCAGCTGCTCTAAGAGACAAAAATGGGTACTCTCCTGTGTGGTTTACAGCCTCTGAAAATTAGTTCTAAGTTGGTTCCAACTAGGTGGTGCATAACAAGAACAACATCATCTCCAGTCAACACTGGGAAACAGTACTGAAAGGTGACCCATTTAACAGTGGTCCAAGCAGAAAGCACGCAGTGGGCACAGACCATCTGGTTTCTCAGGATACATTCTACTCTAAAGTTTAGTCCCAGGATTTTCGAGATTGCCTGTAGTTCAGAGACAGACACGTGATCAAAGGTAGACCAATTAAACTTAGTGAAGCCTAGGCTTACAACCATGAGAACAAGAGGAAGCGAATATGGCGGGGAGCAGAGGCACAACAGAACCCGAGTTCCCACTAACACTGCCGAAACATGAACTGAGCCAAGCCCGGTGCCGGCACTGTTTCCAGAGGACCGCTGCGGGAGGTCACCCTCTCCTCCATTCACCTGAATCACTGTGAACCAGGGTTTCCACTTCCTGTAGCACAAAGCTTTATGACTCAAATGGCTTACAAATCCAAGATCAAATCTGTTCACATTTAGATGTTAACCCAATGCGTAAGAGTGGAAAACAGAACACGGATGCTCACTGATCATCTCTTAATTATCAACCCAACAGTGTTAATTTTTAAAAATTTACAAAAATAACAGTCACACAGTTAAAAACTAAAACGAGCTGAGAGTACGATTCTTGATGTAGGTATGGATTTCTTAAGAGCACAATTTAGTGTTCTGGGATCTCTGTTCTTCTGTGTTAGCCATAATTTGTTAGGGTTCACATATTGAAATGCCTTGGAATAACCCTTTGACTAACACACAAGTAAACATCTTTCTGGCATTCTCTGCTTTCAGCCAAGATCCATCTGACTTTAGCAATGATATGCCCTCATTCCACGGCCTCTTCTGAATCCAGCTTCAATTTCTGGCAGTTCTCTGTCTACTATCCCAGACATGGATCATAACGAGTAACGGCTGACACCGAGAAGAATGGGAATTCCAGAACACTTAATTATGCTCACGTGAAACCTATCCACAGAACAAGAAGCATACTCTTACATGGTTTTGAAATCATCTTCCACCTGCTAAGGAACAACTGAGCTGGCATATATCCACCCAGCATATTTTTAGACACAGTTTCAGTTCTCTGTTTTCTGAGGCCAAGAAATCATCCTTATGTATCTTTGTATCTTCGCAGGACCACACACAAGGCCTGCTACATGGCAAAAAAAAATGTGCATGTATGGTTGCCTAACTCTCTATTCAGCAACTGCTCCTTATGGAACACAACAACAAAATGTGGGAAAATACCTAATATAACTTTAGCATTTGGACAACAAGATAATTTTACAGAAATAGTTTCATTTCCACTGCTAATAACAGTAAGTGACTTGCTTGGATCTCTGTTTCTGTGTTTACAGCAATAATCCTTATTTGGGAAGAAAGCAACAGCTCTAACTTACCATATATATGAAAAGAGGCACAATGCTCTGCAATGCTCCCATATACTGTCCGAGAGCTCCATTAAATCTTTCAATATAAAGGTCAGGAGGGCTGGCCTGTGTGGAAGAACATAAACGTGGTCATTCTGAGAATCGAGGTTTAAAGGCATTCCATCCTAATCTGAAATGCAGACATGCTTAGAAGGAATCCAAAATTCATACTGGAATTTGTTGTTGTTGTTGTCATGTGCCATCGAGTTGCCTATGACTCACCGCAACCTAAACCCTGCTCTATCCTGTGCCAACCCTATTGGAATTTATAACCAAATAAAACCAAGAGACAAATTTATACCCTTCAGTTAACTCTCTCTTTGTTCCAAAATCAGTGACACACAACTGAAATATGGCTTGTGCCTGTTGTTGTTGTTGTTGTTGAATACCACAGAGTCAGAACAGAACCACAATTGACTTTCGAGCTGGTTTTCAGAGGCTGTAAATCACATGGGGGGAGACTGCCCATCTTTCTCCTGTGAAGCAGCTAGAAGATTTGAACCGCGTACCTTTGGGTTGGCAGTGCAATTCTTTACCACTGAGTCAGCAGAGCTCCAATTTAAAAAACTGGGAAACCTTCACTTGTTAGTTAAAAAGGCTTGCTCTTTTGATACATAAACAAAAGTCCAGTCAAAAGTAAGATAAATGATATAATAAAATGATTCCTGAATTATACAGGCATTTCCTATAGAAACCTGACTATTTGCACTTGGAAAAGCAGGGGAGGGAGCTCTGGTGGCCTAGTGGTAAGGAGCTGCAACTACAATCCCAGAGGTGCACGGTTCAAATCCACCAGATGCTCTGCTGGGGAAGGAGGGACAATCTCCCCATGTACCAGTCAGATCTGATTTGACGGTACACACACACACACACACCAAAAAAAAAAATAAAATAAAATAAAAGGAGGGGAGAAAAACAAAGTGGGGCATAAAGCATCATACGAGCAAATCTGGTTCCATGCAAGTCTGAATTTGTGCAGCCCCTAACGTGACAACCACATCTTACAAAGAAAATCTTCCCTCAAAGAAGGATGCAAGAACCATTTAAGGATCCCCAAGTACTGAATTGAAACACAACAATTATAAAGGCATTTCCATCGGTTTTAGAAAAGTAAACATCTTGTATTAGTATCTTTTCAATGCCTCAGAAGCCTCCAACTCCTCGCAACCCTCCTCGAGGACTCGGCATCACAAGCCTGACCAGGGGCCGCCTCAGGAGCTCCGGTCATGGGAGTGGCTTCCTCAGACTCTTCTATTACAGGCCTCAGCCGATTCCATGTGCTGCGAGGTGCCTTATTTACAGCACAGCACTTAATCTCTTTTCTTTCTTTGGCCTCTTAACTGGCTGCAAATTGAGTGCAATTTGGGCTCAGAAATATTCAGTCACTTAACCACAGTCTTACAACCAGTAAGAGCAGGGTTCTACTCTTTAGTACCTATTTTAATTCCTTTTTCAAGTACCAAGACCTTGAGCTAAATTTCAAGCATCTCAGGCACACTGCCAGCCTCTCTGCTTTCCTGTTCTACGTGTTCTCCCGCTCAAGCCCAGCCCAGCACACAGAGAGGTCACCTGCAAAATCAGGAAAGATCAGCAGCTGCCAGGCATCAAGGCCAGGTGACCTGAGTCCACTCCCACCTGAGCAGCTTTCACTCCACCCTTCCACCCCCCACCCCACAACCACACTGACTCTGGCTAACTCTTTCCACTTATCCTCAACTATTTGTCATTTCCTCGGGGGAGGGGAAGGAGCCAAAAAAACGAAACAAAATGAAAACAAGCCCTGAGCTAGAGGGTCCTTAGCAGGACAGCCCCCTGGGACACGCTTCTCTCAGTGGACTAAGTTTGAAATCCCTGAGGACAAAATCTGTGCCTTACGTAACAGATCGAGGCAAACAAACACATCTGCTACAAGAACGGAATCTGAGTCTTATTTCAAAACTATTGTACGACACCTGCCACTCACTGAAACGCCTTTTTAAATTATCCATGCATTCAGGGAGAATACTATTCATGCAGAATAGTAGTTGGTGGGGATACGGCCACCAACACTCTTAACTGCATTCTCTCATCACAAAACAACCTGAGAAAAAGTAGTCGCACATTCTGGACAAACTCTCAGCTCTAACTAAGGAGCAAAGTCACAGACTCTTAACAGTTTCAAAGAGTTCTGAAAGTGATGTTCCAAATTCAAAGGGAAAGTTTAGCAGTGTTACATGGAAAAAGGAAATCTGAAAGGATGATGTATTAAAATATTTTTCTCTTTTCGTCTGGGACCCTCGCTTCCAACATGACGAAGAAAAGGAGAAACAACGGTCATGCCAAAAAGGGCCGCGGCCACGTGCAGCCTTAGCTGCACAAACTGCGTCCAGTGCGTGCCCAAAGACAAGGTAATTAAGGAGTTCGTAATCCGAAATATAGTAGAGGCAGCTGCTGTCAGGGACACTTCAGAAGTGAGTGTTTTCTACGCCTATGTGCTTCCAAAGCTCTGTGTGAAACTGCACTACTGTGTGAGTTGTGCCATTCACAGCAAGGTGGGGAGGAACCGTTCTCGTGGAGCCCCGAAGGACCAGACACCTCCACCTGGATTTAGACCTGCAGGTGCTACCCCACCACGACCACCACACCAAAACCCATGGAAGGATTTGGTTCCTTAAAAGGCTGAAGAAAAAACTTGTCTGAAAATAAAATGGAAATTACACTTTAAAAAAAATTTTTTTTCTCTTTTCATAAATAAAATTTATCTACCCAAAGTTAAAAGTATGAATACTGATCAGAAAAACACACTAAATAGCGGACAGTAAATAAAACTGAATTCCTCGATGAAAAACTTTCCAAAGCCTGAAATGTTATGAGTATTAAAACGTACTTTTTGTACTAAAACAAACATGAAAACATGTTCTTGGCTGTTTTATTTCTATAATTCATTCAGCACATAGTCAAATACCTTTTAAAATGACAAGAATATAAACTGTAGCAGCCTTCTAAACAAATGCAATAAATCTCTTTCCTAGGAACTTACTAATACATTTCCATCTTAAAAAAATGCCCCAAACAAAGCAAGATGTTCTCCTCAAAATGTCAGTTCGGGAACCTTTGGGACCCATTGAGGACACTGCTACCTATTTGATTTTCAGTTTTCCAACATGAGTGTGTTTGTCTTGGACATTAACTTCTCTAACTCTGAAAGAAATAAGCTTTGTCTTCTTAAACAAAAGTAATAGAAAACTAGTGGCCAGATAAGGAGTGACTATTGCTTTCTGTTCCAATGTTTTCCTAATCGATTTGGATTTCCTGGAACTGACAACCTAGCAAGGAACAGGTGCTCCATCTCTCTCTGGATGGGCAATGCATTCACCTGGTTTACCATTCAGAAGAATTCAACAGTTTACCTTTCCTATCTTCCCAGGCCCTCCATTTCCCTGTCTGAATTCACCAGCATGTCTAAGGCTTTTCTATCTTTGCAGGAGAACTTTATGTATGTATTATACACACAAGAACAGATTCCATTTATAAACCTTTTCACTATCACACCGGCCTGCACTCTCTTTAACAATGTATTTGGAAATCGTGTACTCTAGCAGTTTTAAAACATTTCGGTCTCAAAACCCTGGTTCCCTAAGCTGGCTCAGCCTCACAGTGACCTTTCATCAGATTCCAAGCTGTACACTTTTATTTAAGGAAACTGCCCATCTTTATCCAGAGTGGCAGGTGGGTTCAAACTGTCGACCTTTCCCTTAGCTGTCCATTACGGCTGCTACTCCACACGAGCTCCTTGAACTACTCCATCTCCCAACAAATTCATCACAGCCCGCCTTCACTGTGGGTCTCCACTCTCTGGTCCCCCTGAGTCAGAACTGACTCAGAGCTGGCCCTGTGGTGTGTTTCTGAGGTTGTGACTCTCATGGGAGGAGACTGTCCCTCCTTCTCCTGTGGAGTCACTGGTGGATTCAAACCAGCAGAGGTGTGGCCTCTGGGTCAGCAGTCGCTCCCTGTGGGCTGCACCACCACAGCCCCTTCACTTACTACACTGGGCTCTCAAATCACTGAAAAGGCGTGTAAGATAAGGCAACAAAAGAAATGCACACACCTGCTCCAACTACCTACAAACATGGCTGAAAAACACACTTAACGACCTACTTCGTACAAAACCCCAGGACCACCTGAACTTTGATACTACACCAAAGCCTGACTAGTGATGTTTCATATCAGATGCAGTATCAAATCTGAAATTTTCTGAGTAAGGTTTGTCTTCTACTCCTAATGAATCTGTTACACACACATTCATAATCTCACACATTAGTTATTTGGAAGATATTGTCATATAGATCTTCTAAGGGCTGTCACAACTCAGGTTTTTGTTAATATTACTGTTTACCTCAACAGAAAGGTTTCTAAAAATTTGAGTTTTGAACACTTCCTCATGTGTTTGTTGGCCATTCAAATGTCTTGCTCTGTAAAAATATTTTCATGTCTTTTGCCCATTTTGTAATTACCAGTCTTTTTAATTATTATTATTTTTGTGCATGTATGGTCAAATCAGATCTGACTGGTACAGGCGGAGATTGCCCCTCCTCCAGCGGAGCATCTGGTGGATTCAAACTGTGCGCCTCTAGGATTGCAGTGCAGCTTCTTGCCACTAGGCCACCAGAGCTCCCTTATCAGTCTTTTTTTATAGTTTTCTGTTTTAAGTTTTGGTTAGGAGACTTGTGTCTAAAATGTTGTTTTTTTTTGATTTTTTTTTTTTTAAGTCTGTGGTTTTTCTTTTTACCCTACTGGAAAAACCTTTTGATGCATACAGGGATTTGATATTAGGAAACTCCCACTCATCGACTTTATCATCTCCTGGTTGTGCATTTTTGGCTGTTTGCAAGTCTATTTATGTCACAGACTAGAGCTTCTAGATTTGATCCTATTTTGTCTCTGATGATCATTATAGGTTTTGGGTTTAACATGGAGGGAGATGTAGATCTTGTTTCAGTTTTTCCAAACAACAACGAGCCACCATCTCACCCCAGCAGCAACAGCCAAGTTTAACAGGACAGCAAACAATCACTGCTGGAGAGGAT